TAGCGTGTTGGAATCATATTTTTAAACAAATAATTATATATATATATATATATATATATATATATATATATAATGATAAAAAATATAATTATATTGCTCAATATCAGAGCTAGAGCGAATGTAAATATAAAAGTGGATACTGAGGTCAACACCAAGCGGCGACAGTCTGTTTCATGTTCAGGCCATCTTTTGAGCAAAAAGAATTTTTGATTGTACAATGGAGATAGTTATACATGATACATGCCGGTTTAATCGGGTTTAGTTTCTTGAAACTCAGCTGGATTTGCTTCTAAATGGTGAACATCGTCTCCTATTCTCGGTTGTCTGCCTCAAACCTCTCCCGATTTGGACAGAAGTCACTTCCTGCTGCTAGAAAGAAATGTTTTTATGATGTATTAACGGAAGACTGATCGAATTAATGTCGGATGATCTTCTGTCTAAATAGAAAGAAGGTTTCGTTTCCTACTGCAGGATTCATATCGAGCGAATGGGATAAAGCATTCGATTATTCTGAATTTAGAAGAATGCAGTTCCGTTCAGGCAATATGAGGAACATGGCACCCAAAGAGTTAATTCATTTTAATTTAAATTACTTGAATTCGGAATAAAGAAGTAGTAACTTGCTTGGAGCCAACAATTTTGTTCTATAGATTTTTCTAAAAACTCATTTTACCGTAAATTGTTCTGATGTAAAATGACAGAAATGATAAATAATTTGGTTAAAAAGTGGTTAAAAAAATATAGAACGCTTATTTTTCTTCAGAATTTTTTTTCTCACATTTTATTACTTTATTTCGGGTAACAAAATTTCTTTCTTTTTACTTCTTTGTTTTACTTTCTTTCTTTCTTTCTTTATTCTTTCTTTCTATCTTTAAAAATAATGAAAGAAAAAATGAAAACATTTCGAATATTTTGAAACGGATAAGGTAGAAAAAACGAGTATTATAAATAAAAAAAAAGAAATAAAAACTAAAAATCAATTTAAAGAATGAAAGCTTTCTTTCTTTCTTTCTTTAAATTGATTTTTAGTTTTTCTTTCTTTTTTTTAAAATTTATAATACTGGTTTCTCCTACCTTATCGCTTTCAAAATATTCGAAATGCTTTAATTTTTTTTTTTTTTTTCATTATTTTTTTTTTAACAACTTCTTTCTGTTGCTTGATTTCACAACATTTCCCGGTCAATAATTAGTTGCAAATTCAGTTCAACGCTCTAAAATTGAAACCACTCAGTAAATACAGTTGATTTTTTGAGAGACTTACGGGAATAAGAGATTCATCTGTGACTATCAGATCATTTTTTAAGAACTCATTTCATAAAAAATCGAGACTGATTGATGCATAAAAAAAAATTTCTGATGCAGTTTATCAATAATTTTAAGATTTTATATTTTTTTTTTTTTTTAAATCAAACCGTTAATTTTTTTTATCAAATAAATAAACATATTTAAGCTTTAACAAAATGCCAAAAAATTTAGGTATTTTTATTTTCGATTGTCTTTTGAAAAAAAGCAAAACAATTTAAACAGAAATTCCCTCCAACTGATGAAAAGTAATATTTTGACGATATTGTATTTACGGAAAGTAGAGCTGTGGAAAATGATTTCAGTATATAAAAAAAAAGAATTCGATTAGCTTCAAACTGCAATATTCATAGCAAGTAATTGTTTGATTTGTAAATTGCCAATGTTTCGAAAAAGACATATCCGTCGTTTCCATATGCTGAAGACTACGGCGCTCAAAGAGTTAAAGTTAGTTAAATTTAAATTATTTAAATTCGGAACAAATCAGGCAATCCCAACGTTTTAATTCTAGACTCAGGCAATTTGAATTTAATTTAACGCTTCGAACAATAAAGCACCCCAAAATGTGAGGATTAAGACTATGGAGACTCCCGTCGAAAAAGGTTTAATGAATTTAAATAAAATGAAAAGCTGAAAGAAAAGAAAAAATTAAAAAAAAAATAGAAAAACATGACTTTTACTATCATGAAAATTAAAAAAAATCATTTACATTCAAGTTGGCAGCAGTCATTTTCAATATTAATTAGGCGTAGGTACAGAAACGAAAAATTCATGCGAAAATATGTCTGCAAATATGAATAGAAACGAAACAGAAATTACGCATTAATGCAAAAGCCTTAGTTTCGAACTTTAACAACCAGATATAGCAGTTTCATTTGAGCGTTCGTTTTGCGAATTGAAGAATGTTGAACAAACCTGTTCGTTGTAATCAAGTGAGACATATCGAGTCGGAATGACCATATAATGTTTTCTTCTGCGTAGCGTTGTATAAAAACACACGAGAGACTTATAGTTGCTCATCAGAAGATTGATACACAAATAGGGCATTAAACAGTAATTTATGTGGGATTACCCCACCTCGTCTGACAATGGACTTCACTCGTCACCTCGTGGCAATCAGCACTATAAATGGAAAGAACTCACTCTCACGTTCATTTTTCTTTTTAGAATACAGTCGTAACAAGACTCGCCTCGTGCTTCCCGAAGAAGACCTTTTACCACAGGCAAGCCGACTACTTATTTTCACCAAACCGCGTGGTGCACTCGGTCTCTCTTTCTCTCGGACACGCACACGTATATGCACACATACACTACTATTTAATCGCATAAATATCTTTCTTTTTATGAGCTCTGTTTATATGTTTACATCCTATTATATTTTTCACTCTCGGTGAATTATGTTGGCCTACGAAGAAATATATCTCCATGTGTTGAATTTTGTATTTTGTAAGGGTTCCACTACAAAGAGGTAACGACGCGCGTTGTCACCCATGAAATGTCGGGTTCATAACGATTTATTATGTGCTATCAAGATAACTTTTCACAGGTACTCCTTAGATTGTATTATTTGCTTTTACTGTTATACTTATCGGATGGTGTGCTTATTGGAAACTTGGCTTTCAACTGTCAAGGTAGCGTATTTGATGGTGTATATCTTTCTTTCAACTTAATTTTAGTTGCTTAGCATCGCAGTGACAGGGGAAATATTCAGTATTTTGCGAAGGTATTGTAGAATTTCGATGAAAAGGGTGAAAAAATTTCGTACCGAGAACTGAGTTGTGTTTAGGAATAACTAATAAATTCTAAAATTTTTCAGATGTATTCGGATATTTTATTTTTACCTCGAAAAGCCACTTACCATGACAGCTGCCCTACCTGATCTGTAAGAACATTGTTGCCTACAAATTATCAAATCTAACCATCTCGGGCTATATTAAATGTTACTTTATTAATAGTAGTAATATTATCTTGGATTTCTGCTGGCTCTGGGAAACAAGTCTCTTGTGTTATGTGCACGGAGATCTCTCAAAAGGTATTCTTCACAAAGGCAAACACCTACATGCGCTGTTCAAATTCACATGCGTACGGAAAACAAATGTTGTTGTTTCATAATGTACAGTTCCTCTCTTTTGTTGACCATTTTTGCCGCAGTCTCTGAATATGGAATCCAGTGAAGTCCGTAATCTGTTCAATATCAGAGGTCGGCAGTGAAGATTCAGAGAAAGTAGCGGTTGCTAAATAATCCTTTAAGTCTTCGATATCAGGTTGGCAGTGCAGGCAATTTGGGAGAAAAAAATGGCTGCCTTTATACACGTCGCATTGAATATTTTGAGCTTTCTGATTGGTTAACCCTTCTATTGATGAACTATAAAATGAGTCAACTCATTTAGGCTAGCTCGCTAGTACATAATACACAAAAAACTGCAACAACTACCACATCTGGTCTGGAACTTCTCGGTATACTTGACAAAATCCAAAGAACTGACTCTCCTGACATCTCCATTTCACTCACTTTTTACACCGCAACGAAACGTAGATTCTCTTTCTCTTTTCAAAAATATTTTCGTGGCATTTGTTCCAAGGAGATTTTCGCCGTGGTACCTCGAATTTACGAATTTAAGGGTACTAATAGATTGGAAATTAGGTGTCAATGTCTTACTGGTTTTGGGGTCGCTTGTAAAGATTTTTCTTAGTCAATCTCTAGTGTCGTATGTAAGGCATTTTTCATTACAGTTAGATATATTTATGGAACGGTTAAAATGGCTCACTAGTACACAAATATACAGAAAAAAAACTGCAACATCTTTTGTATGGATTATGGAGTGAATTGAAGCCAAAGAGTCGTATACGAGATTCGAACACAGTTTATATGGTGATAAGGGAATATTCAAACGCACATATCTTGAATATAGCCTTACTTTTCGCTTCGGAAGCAGGTTATTTGGTCAGATTCTAGAACCAATCGATGTATCCGGGAACATTTACATTATTCATACACGTTTGTTGTTTGTGTACGATAAGAAATTCTGAGGAAACTAATTTGCTAACAATTTGCAGCAATGTCTGTTTGCATATGTAAAAACGTGACTTATACATTTATATCAGTCAATAGTGTAGCACCGCTGATGCAAGAAAAGAAAAAAAATCAGTTTTTCAAATGTCTTAAAAATATCTTCATTTGCTTAACGCAAGAAGAGTTTAATCCTTTCTTCTTGCGTCAACAGCTGCTATTCTTCATCAATTTAACTTTGCGTCGACGATAACAAGCTCTAAATACAGGTTTGTATGCCGTGCTTTTTTCTTGATTGGTTCAACTTTAAGGGATTCGTGTTTGAATTTGAAACAATATCTACACTGCTGTTTACTTCTGCCAAAAATGAATTGCTTAAATAAAAAAAGACAAAATACAAATAGACACAAATGTAAGCAAAGTACCTCCCCATTTCACTATAACGACAAGTGCGAATTATTTGGACTTTAAATCGCGAAGATATGTTTTAAACTTTTATTTGTTCACAATGTATTCCCTATTTCTTAAGATCAAGTACATTAATGTAAAAAAAAAAACCCTGTTTACCTTAAAAGCATAATCCTCCAGAAACACATTGTTTTTGGCGGGAGGAGAGGGGTGAATTTCACTCTTATCTATCTATCTATCTATCTATCTATATATCTATCTATCTATCTATCTATGGTAGTCGTTCCATTTCTTTCTTTCTATCTATCTATCTATCTATCTATCTATCTATCTATCTATCTATCGTAGTCGTTCCATTTCTATCTATCTATCTATCTATCTATCTATCTATCTATCTATCTATCTATCTATCTATCGTAGTCGTTCCATTTCTATCTATCTATCTATCTATCTATCTATCTATCTATCTATCGTAGTCGTTCCATATCTATCTATCTATCTATCTATGGTAGTCGTTCCATTTCTATCTATCTATCTATCTATCTATCTATCTATCTATCTATCTATCTATCTATCTATCTATCTTAGTCGTTCCATATCTATCTATCTATCTATCTATCTATCTATCTATCTATCTATCTATCTATCTAAAAAACATGAGGTTAGTCGAATCCGTTACGTTATCCTCAGGCGATTTTTATCAAATGACCTCTTAACGCTTTATTTTAAAAAAAAGCAACAAAAAAACCCAACTAATGAACGATATATTATTATGTTCAAGAATAAATAAACACACGACGTTGGGTGTAATAGAAAGAGAGAAGAAGAAGAAGAAGAAGAAGAAGAAGAAGAAGAAGAAGAAGAAGAAGAAGAAGAAGGAGTGGGTGGGTGGGGGAGGAGGGGGAGGAGAATGTGAAGAAGAAGAAGAAGAAGAAGAGGGAAGGGAAGAAAGGCAAGAGTATTGTAAATGTATCGCTGTGGGGGTTAATTGAAATGAGCATTACTTTTTTTTTTATTCAGTCTTGTATGTGCTTAAGAGAAATGTCATAATTGCTAGTTTTTCCTCTTGACAGAGTTTGCAAATATTGTCGTGGTTGTTGTAAGTCCATGCCTTTTTCTAAAATTTTCAAGTTTAAAATTAGATCCCTGTTGTTTTTTTCTTTTAAATTCCACACGTTTATCTAGTTTGATAGAGTACCTAAGACTTACTAGCTTAAATGACGACTAAATGAATGAATGAATTATATATATATATATATATATATATATATATATATATATATATATATATATATATATATATTATGAAATGGACAAAGTCCGAAATTTATTTTAAGACATTTTATGTTTATACATTCTTTTTATAAAATGTCTTAAAATAATTGTCGGACTTTGTCCTTTTCATAATGTGTGACGTCATTTGTTTACATTTGATACGCCATGAGCAGATATGAATGTACGTGAGAGATTCATGGAAGATTGAATTTTAAATACAGTAAATTCTACCTTGTTAACCGAACGCGCCTCTGTGGCCAAATCGGTAAAGGCACGTCAAGCTAAATGACGGTTCCGTATATTTTTCTGTGACAATTTCTCGGACATTCAGGCCGGTAAATGTTGTTTGATACTGTTTATTATAAACAGTGTATTTACTTAAATAATTGTATCTATAAAAAGAATGTATAGACATACAAAGGTCTTAATATATATATATATATATATATATATATCGACTCGGATTGAGAAATCGGAGAGCTCGAATTCCAGTCGAATCTATTACATTTACTTACGTACTAATACCCATGGGAAACGTTTTAATTCTCTTCTTCTCGCTCTACCTATCGGTAACTATCTGAGTAGACTGGGTTCTGTAGCCTTGGATGGCGACTGGTCTGAATTAAAAAACTGCGGAGGGTCGTTTGGGATCTCTGTGGCACACGGTGCACCAGGTCTCTGCATTCGGCCCTTCAACAATGTCATTGGTTCTGCACAAAGCCTTCACCACTGTAATCAAATAATGCGTTGGTGTCTGGCTGTCGGTTCTTAGGAACTGAGCTGCTTGATCCTCATACGTCGAATACGACGGGAGAGTCCACCATATATATATATATATATATATATATATATATATATATATTATTTACATCATTCGGACTATTGTCCTCATCTTTGTCGCCATATTATTACAACGTTTCGGCAATATGAGCACTGGTAAAAATGGTTGCTGAAACATTAGGTTTATAATATCCAGAAATTCATACACAGATGTCCTCAAGGACACAGTGAATAAAAGCGTTGGTTAAATCCAGTGACAAGACCCAAAAGAGTGTGAGTTCAATAGCCGGCTTAGGCAGTGGAAAACTTTCAGAAGGAAAATTAACAGGAGATAACTGATAACTGACAACCATTAGACATGGCACGTGGAACTAGAACAGTCTACCCCAGTGAGCGAAATAAAGGGTTCAGTTCGACATTCCAACCGGCCGAAACGTTGTAATAAATATGGCAACAAAGATGAGGACAATAGTCCGAATTATGCAAATAATGTACATAATACCTCATCTCAGAAATATAGACATATATATATATATGTAGATAGATAGAGATATATAGATAGATATCGATACTTTTCACGACTGCTATAAGCGTGAAAAGTTTTATCTATATTTATACACAAATCACTAAATATACCAAAACCCATTTTACAGAATATACCTATCTATTTTTCTATCTATTTATCTCTCTCTCTAATTATCTATCTATCTATCTATCTATCTATCTATCTATCTATCTATACACGCACGCACACACATATATGTCTGTGTGTGTGTGTGAGTGTGTATATATATATATATATATATATATATATATATATATATATATATATATATATATTATACATTCACATAAAGATATATGAATCAGTTAGTTATTGTGTATATAGTATTTGTCATAAGTATTTAAAAAAACAGACTTCTTGTTTCCATTCACTTGGTTATTGAGAGTTAAAAACGGTAATAGTTTGTAAGAAGGAATAAATTTAATTGCAATCAACATAAAAAGCAGACATTTAGTCAGGTGTAGTGGTTCGGAAAGATAAATTTCGAGAAAACGTTTTTTTTTTTTTTAGTCATAGACTTAAGTAGTAAATTAAAAAAAATCTCAGAATCTATTAAGGAGACTGAAAAGTTGAACTCACAATGCTATTTGGAAGAGTTGCCAAACTGGTAAATCAATTCTGATCTCCTCACCCTCACCCTGCTCATAATCTTTCATGGCTTCAAATTTTGTGCTTCGTTTAAAATACACATGAGTCTTCCTCTACACAGTTCTGCTCAAAAGTATTTAAACAGTCTATGTTTTGATTTATTTATGTTGGTACTTTTAAAAATAAGTCGCAGAAAAACACGATGGTAGTTGATAATTATTATCTAAGGAAAATGCCGGTCTTCTCAAAATAACCTTTGCTATTGACATTCACTCCCCAAAACATTCTTAATTGCTCCTTTCACCAAAACACCTCACTTATTCCTAACCTCTGTTTCAATTTGCAATCAAAATATTATGCACAATCTAATCCCATATTTACAATTTCATGGGTTGGTGAATAAAAAAAAAAGTTATTTATGCACAATTTCAAAACATATCTCAATGAGTCAATTATCAGCATTTTATTTAAGAAAGATATTAATATGGCTTCACACAGTAATTTAACAAGACATTGGTCCGAGGGTCTTCCATATATATATATATATATATATATATATATAGTCATCCACAGACAGAATGTTTCAGTGTATCACAGTTCTTCATTGTGGCTAGACGTCCTGTTGCCTCTAGCTAGGATCGAAACCCAGCTGAATTGGCGTCAGTCGGAAATTCTACCACTAAGCCGACGGTTTAGTGGTAGAAGGTGAATTTTAGTCTATTTATTATTAGATAAACACACAGTAACTGAGAGGGCTCGGTTCGCTTTACCGAAGAGTCTTGCTATACTAGCCGTAATAGTCACTGTTTACAGACCCACACTTCCTCCCCCAGAGAGCACAACCGAAATAAATTTTTCAGGAGCCCAGATATTGTCATCAACAGACAGACTGTTTCGCTGTATCACAGCTCTTCAGTGTTGCTGGACGTCCGGTTACATCTAGCTAGGATGGAAACCCGGGTGAATTGGCGTCAGTCGGAGATTCTACCACTAAGCCGTGATGATCTTGGGAAAAGATCGAAAGTGCTTGGGAAATGAAAATAAAAGAAATTTAAACAGCTGTAACACATTTCTTTCATCAATTAACATCAATACACGGAAGGTTATTCGGGAATATGAACGGATTTTGTTAAAAATTAGCAGATATAATATATGTAATTTATTCAATCAGACTTTCCTAAAAGAGAATTTGCCGCCTAAATGCGCGCACACACACACACACACACACACACACACACACACATATATATATATATTGTTATCGTGGAACACACCTATTCTATTATTAATAGACTCTCCCACCTATAATAAGTAGGAGTAGTAGCAGTGGCTCAGGGAGTTGGTCAGTCAGGCGACCGGCTGATCGGTTGAACTCTCAGCCTTCGGGCGGGGAGGAACCCGAAACAGGCTACGCCGAAGAGCGGATTCTCTTACGGGGAGGTAAACCGATCCTGAACCCGTTTATACGGGTTCAATGGGCATATTTTTGGCCAAGCCCACGAGCTCGAAGATCCCACGTTAAAAAGGCCTTGTGCCACTTGACGCCCTCGTGGCGGGGGGTGACTGAATATCGTTGGTCAGTCAGTCGATGCCGGACGACCGTTAGTCGGATACTAAAGTATCAGCGACCACAACTAGATTTACTCTGCGTCATTACATATTATATCAAGTTCCTAACGTTTTGTACTTCGAACCTATTTTAGGACCGACTTCGTACAAATACAAGCCTCCACTGTGAAATCACTCTACAACATATATATAGTCATATTTTCATTGAAGCATGTTTGGTTAACTAATTTAGACGTATTATGCCTATTTTAGACTTAAGTGTCGAAATTTACTTCAGCAAATTGTTTTAGTGGACAAAAGCGTTTTATTTGCGAATTTGGGGAAGTTGTGAGTTCAATCCTTGGGTCGATCAGTGTGTAGTTTCACACACTGGAAACGGGTGACCAATAACTGAACAGTACTAAATAAAAATAAAACCTAGACGGTATCCCTAAGCATGAGCAGTGGAACGAAATCAGTCTATCGCCGTTTATTAAATAAGGGCTTCAAGTAGGAACTCCCTGTAGTTTACCAAGATCAGTATACACCCGAAAGAATGCCAGAGGTCATTACGACCGAAACATTGTGACAAAAACTACAAAGATTAGGATAACAGTTCAAATATAAATAGTGTAAATAAACAGAATTTTTTTCAATGTTTAACATCGCAGAAGCCATTAATGTTTTGTGAAATGGAGAAAATCCAGATTGCCAAATTTTCCATATAATCAATTTGAGTTCGCTTTTCCATTTTCCTTTATCGATTCTATGCAAGATTTAAATGGATACAAAAAAACAAAAAAAAAAAAAAACAAAAAAAAACTAATTAATTTTTTCAATTATCAATTTAATTCTGTTAAAAAAATTTTCTGGGTGTTAGCATTTAGGATCACACAGCATGTCTAAATGCTTAATCTATACCTTACTGTTCAAATAAAGAAAGATGAAAGAAATATGAAAAGAAGGAAAAAAAGAACGATAAAAGAAAGATGAAAAGAAAAAGAAAGAAATATGAAAGAAGGAAAAAAAGAAGGATAAAAGAAAGATGAAAAGAAAGAAAGAAATATGAAAAGAAGGAAAAAAGAACGATAAAAGAAAGATGAAAAGAAAAAGAAAGATGAAAGAAATATGAAAAGAAGGAAAAAAAAGAAAGATGCATATTCTACAAACTGTCTACAGGTGACGCTCGTCACAATCAGTAATCTTTCCTGAAATTTTGAAACGAAAATTTTATTCAGTCCATGAGGGAAGGTTGTTTTTAGACAATTTACAATGATTATAGGATGTCATATATCAGTTATATATCAGTTATAGTTTTATCTTTGCGTTTGTGTATTTTTTCTTTAAACTGGAATGAAATTTAAACCCTACCAGACAAAAAAGGATTTAACAGGGGATTTATCAGAAAGCCAGATGCTTTAAAAGTCAGACGAAGAATTGTAAATATAACGACCAAAATGAGCATAGCAGATTATATAATGAAAATGGTCACCTGATAAAGTCCGGAGAGTAATGCCGAAACGTTGTCAGTGTATCAGCCAAGATAGAGCGGGTTGGTCCAAATAGCAAGACATATAATAAAAAAGGAACACGGGAAGAAGACCAGAGAGGAAAGCCGAAGCGTTGAAAATGTATCAGCCAAGATAGAGCTTGCTAGTCCGAATAGCATGGCATATAATATAATAAAAAGTGACACCTGATGAAGAGTAAAGCCGAAACGTGAGTGTATCAGCCAAGATTGACTGTGCTGGTCCGAATCGCTTAGCATATAATAAAAAGCGACACCTGAAGAAGGCTGGAGTGTATAACCGAAACGTTATGATGTATCAGCCTGCATGCTCATGTTGGTCCGAACAGCAAGACATATAATAAAAACGGCTCCCGAAGAAGATCGGAGAGTAAAGATTAAACGTTGAGTTTATCAGCCAAGATAAAGCGTGTTGGTCCGAACAGCAAGACATATAATTAAAAAAAAAAACGGCCCCTGAAGAAGATCGGAAAGTAAAACCGAAACGTTGTAAATGTATAAGCCAAGATAGAGCGTGTTGGTCCGAATAGCAAGACATATAATAAAAGCGGCCCCTGAAGAAGATCGGAGAGTAAAACCGAAACGTTGTAAGTGTATCAACCAAGATAAAGCGAGTTGGTCCGAATAGCAAGACATATAATAAAAACGGCCCCTGAAGAAGATCGGGGAGTAAAATCGAAACGTTGTAAGTTTTTATACCAAGATAAAGCGAGTTGGTCCGAATAGCAAGACATATAATAGAAACGGCCCCTGAAGAAGATCGGAGAGTAAAACCGAAACGTTGTGAATTTATCAATGAAGATAGAGCGTCTAGGTCCTAATAGCAAGACATATAATAATGAGAATTCATCACTTTCTAAAATTCTGACATAAATTATGACGGGAAGCGTACCTTGCCATGTCAGACGCAAACAAAAATAATTCATCTTGAGATTAACCGAATAAAATCAAGACAAATAATGTTTGCAAAATACGGACCCCTGAAGATAACGATCCACACATGTAAATAAACAATGACGTTGGGAAGTTTTACATGTCATAATTTAACGTAATAAACAGACATGGTCCGATATAATCGCCGACATCTAATCTTAAACGGCCCCCAAGTTCATAGAGATATTTATATAAACAATTAAATATCTTTTTCTTTTCCCGTTTTACACTGAACGCAGAGAGGCGTATTTTGAAAGCAAATACCTGAATATAGAATAGATTTTGGCAATAGATTCTTACCGAATGATTTATTTTTCTCTTCGCCATTTAGTATTGAGTGTTGTGCATCTGAAATAGGGACGTCCGTAAGAAATATTTTTCTTTTTATTTATATTCTTTTTCATATTAACATTTTTTTGGATATTTTTTTAAAATCCAATTGGTTACATCAATGTTATTTTTTAAGATAAATGCTCAACTGTTTAGGAGAGATTCCAAGGTGTGCTATAAAATGTACAAAAAAAAAAAAAAAATAAAGAAAAAGAAAAATGGACGTCAGTTTAAAGCATTTCAAGTATTCGCGTGATTATTGTTTGTTTCGAGCGTAAATAATTTTCGATCTTGGTTTTCTGTACGTGAGGTTTTCGCTTCTTTTCTGATCTAGAATTCACGGCGTACATTGCCATTCAAAATTATTTTCTCTCCCGTCCTTGTCCAGTCTGTTTCTATGTATATATATATATATAAACAATTAAAAATATCTTTTTTACTTTTCCTTTTTTCTTTACACTGAATAATAGAGAGGCGTATTTGGAAGAATAAATACCTGAATATAGAATAGTTTTTGCTATAGATTCTTACACGAATGATTTATTTTCTCTTCGCCATTTAGTATTGACGATAAACTACGTCCAACAGAATCTGAAACAGGGACGTCCGTAAGAAACCTATTTTTGCTTTTGTTATATTCCCCTTCATATCTTAGGATCCATTTAGGTAACCCCGAAACTGAGA